TAAACTTTTTCAATCCGGCATTTGCACCTTGGTGAGAGGTTGTATATTTGTTAAATCTTTATTTTGTCGAATTTCATTTCGTCGAAAATTTTAGTTCGTCAACTTTCGTTTTTGATGTTTCTCCGATGACCTAATATCCTTTCGGATAAAATTCGTTAAGCCAAAAGATGTTTACAAATGCTAATTAAGTTAATTGGATGTTCAATTGTTTAAAAACCATCCTTAGCAGAATTGAACGAGTCGTCCTAAAATTCATATTATTTTAAAAATCGGTCCTGAAAATCCGCCAGATAAAAACGGTAGAACCTCAGCAAAATCAAACCAGCATTCACAAATACCACCCCACGAATTAAATTCGGTGCGGTGAATTTAACTTTCTAATTTACATCGTAAAACCCAAAATAAAAAATATCAGACTACTCTACTACTAAGAATCGTTGCACACATTCCCAGGTGTTCCCCCTCCATCCAGGAAATGGTCTCCCCCCATCTGGCACATCAAGATTTTTTGCGGTTTAGTAGAAAGAGAGAAAAGACAGGAGATGTGGAGCGAGACTCAGAAGAAAGAAAAGCCCCCCCTCCCCCGTCCTAAAGAAGAACCTTCAGGTCTCTGGCCCCTCTCGAAAGCCACTTTAACAATTTTTGACAGCGTTTGGACTCGGCGGGGTGAGAGGGGTCCCGACGCAAAATCCCGAAGCGCGACACTTTGGATTGAATTTCAGATGTGAGGGGGGATAGAAAGTGAGAGGTGGGTGGATTCGTATGTAAGGCATCAATAGGGTTAAGATTTTGAATCAAGGGGATGTTTAAAGGTGATGTGACAGAAAGGGGCGTAGCCCTTTCTGGCTTCCAATTCTCTTTAAAGCGTAACTAAAATTACGACCTAAATTCCTTAAGGTGCTACTGACAAGGGAACCGCAAGTTGGCACGGTGGAATTTCGAAAAACGCTCGCGGCTACCCCTAGGTTTTCGACGACGGCGATTCCAACGCGCCAGTCAGAATTAGCTAAATCGCCCTGTGGACAGAGATACAGCACTTCCCGAAAATGGTCAATTTACATTCGGAGGAATTAGCATTCACCTCAGGGCTTATGAGGGCTTCCCATCCCAGAAGAATAACCAGTTGAATGGCCGGGTGGTAAGCGGCTAGCTTGTTAGGATACTGACTAGGGTTCCAATCCGTTCACGACTTTTTTGTTTTGCTTTTTGGACGGAAGTTTGGATTTTTTCACATAGTAAAGCTTTTATTCGTTGGTGATGAGGCCGATTCCTGCAAAAACGTTTTGAAATTGCATCTTTCATGCGACGGCCCCTTTCAAACGAACGAGTAGCTTTTAAGAAGCTTGTAGTTTTGCTCAAAGTTCCGTCCAAAAAGCAAAACAAAAAGTCGTGAACGGATTCGAACCCTGGTCAGTATCCTAACAAGCTAGCCGCTTACCACCCGGCCATTCAACTGGTTATTCTGCTGAGATGGGAAGCCCTCATAAACCCTGAGGTGAATGCTAATTCCTCCGAATGTAAATTGACCATTTTCCGGAAGTGCTGTATCTCTGTCCACAGGGCGATTTAGCTAATTCTGACTAGCGCGTTGGAATCGCCGTCGTCGAAAACCTAGGGGTAGCCGCGAGCGTTTTTCGAAATTCCACCGTGCCAACTTGTGGTTTCCTGGTGAGCGCCGTATTCTTACGAGCGATAAATATTAATTTTGTACAAAGAAATTCTATATTGGAATAACAGGTTTAATAGGACGCAAAGTACAAACTTCAAGAAAAAATGGGCTCTCCACCATATAAACCTTTTTTGTTAGATCCCATCCTATCCCAATCGCAGATTTATATGCGTAACATCTCCAGTTAAGAGACCTGCTACAAAGCATAAAAGGTATTCGATGTAAGCAATACATTATACATCACACCAAAAGCCCGAAAAATTAATCACATTAACCGAACGGGACACCACATTTCTACCTCGTGCAAAAACGGAACCCAATCTATGCGCCCACATGCATCGGTTGAAGCTGTTTTTTTCCAGCGGTTCACCAGCGTGAAAATTGAATTCTGCACCTTTTGAAATGATCTGCGTGGGGCTTAGAAAATTGTGGACTTCCTGGTGATGCCCTTCTGAATATCCTAGTAAAGACCAGAAAACTTTCGTGCCTCGAAGAGCGTCTTCAAGCCCAAATCGGACAAATTGATGGGCGAGTGGGCGGGAAAATTGTTTGCGACGTTGCTTGCACATTTCCAGAGACAAAATTCTACGGAGGGAACACCCAAAAAAGCAAAATTTGTCTAATTCAGACGTAAAGTGGTGGGAGAGGGCTGGACATAGATGCGAATAGATGGAGGCCAGGTAATAGGACGATATTATGTGGAAAGCGGAGATGGGGAAGGAACTGTTATCCGACAATGCATAATAATTTATTCAACACTAAGGTTTCAGAACGCAAAAGGAAAGGAAGAGGAAAAACGGGCTATTAAAGGGGGCTAACAAATGGTAATTCGTGATGGATTAGTCGTCACACCGCCGGCCGATGAGGAGGACTTCCGAGAAGCCGAGGAAGGCCGATGGAATTCGGAATATCTGGAATATAAAAGAAAGGTCGCCACTGAAAAGCAAATTAATGCTATGCTAGTCTTTAAATACGGAATTCTTCCTTTTCCTGCCGGTCCCTGGCGGTATTCCAATTTAATTTCCATAAATTAAAGAACCCGGGAAGGGCGCACGATTTTTCTACACCACTTCTTTCTTTTGTTTCCGAATTTTGATGTAAGAACGGAGCTGCTTGCCACAACCCTCATCAAATATGCATGGCTCCCCAATCTTTCAGGAACGCCCGAATTCTCGTCTTTTCGAAATCCCGTTCGCTGCAATGTATAAGTTTCTTCCCAAAATGTTAATTTAAATTTTGTTGCTGTGCCGGGGTTAACTGGGAGATGCCGGCCGGGGGGAGGCGACAAGAAAACTGAAATTCAAAGAACTATGAAATATGGCGCGGCATGGGGAAGGGGGATGGGGATTTTTGGTAAATTCCTTGCATGTGTTTATATTTGGAATGGGTATTTTTATGCTTTTTTTATGCGGATTTCTTCCACGCCTTTTCAATAGGATTTTGTAACATTTCGGGGTCTCGATTCTCAATTCAAGAGCTCTGAAATTGGATTTTTCGTTTTATAGATTTTTTTTGTAAATGTTATCCCGAAAGTACACTTTTATAATGAAAATCATTTCCATTAAAACCCTTCATTTTCATAGAATATAGCTTTTCTGGCCTTTTTTGGAATAGTGTTCTTTTTTTGAGCCATCTCCATTTATCTAAATTTAACCTAACTTTTCTTTATTTTCCGTAAAATCCCTCCGATTCCTCAATGGCCCTAAACACTGATAGTTGGCGCGGGCGCTTGGCAATTTGCCCCCAACAGGGGAATGAGCCGTAAAGATCGCGGGGGAAATGCGTGAAATTCCATCGTGGATGAATCTGGAGGGATGGGGAGGAGATGAAGCACACTTTCGCCCCGTTTCACGCCTTCCTGATAAGCACCCGCCAGCTCCGAGGCCACTTGAGCGTTTTTTGCGCCGAAAAACTTTGCCCATCTATCTGTTATTTGACCGGCATTGATTTTTGCAGGTTTTTGATGGTTTTAAGAATATTTTGAATGATTTTGGAATTTTGTATTCACCTTTAGGTGCTTTATACCTTATTTAACCCTGAGAAAATTATAATTCCATCCATTTATCATTTATTCAGTCATTCTCTGCATCTAAAAAGTTAACGCTGGTACGTTACTACTCCAACTTTTCTCACGCTCCTTTTAAAAAAGTAACTAGTCTAAAATATTCTCTTTGTTCTTGCCCAAAATATTGCTCTATAAATCTACACCCCAAAATTTTCGGAATTAAATATATTTTAACCTTATTTCCTTTCAAAGTTTTGACATAGATTTTTCTTCTGTTCCCTTGTCCTCTAGGTCGATTGGAAGGAAGTCTTTTTTAGGGACCCGGGGCAGCCATTCGGAGCCACGAAGCGATTGTTGAGGTGGCCGAGGGCCAGCCGGAGCCTTCCGGAAATGGGGACCCCGGTGGCTATATCGAAAGGGAGCAACATGGACTAGAACCAACGACAAGACGCCCAATTCCAGCACACTACCAAGTACAACTACGGACACCACGGCTGTACCGGCCGATGCGACCCGGTGTCGGCGTCTTTTCTGAGTCCCGGTGAGTGATCGTACTTTTTGGGGTTTTTGCGATGATTTTTATGAATGAATAAGCGTTCATTAATCGATTCAGTAGCTTAACTCGGAATGCGGGGGTAAAAAAAGCATTCCTTCTAACAATCCAATAAAGTTTTATACCTTCCGAAAGTCTAAAGAACTAAAATTTTTAATTCAGCAAAAATAGTGTTTAAAGCTTTTCTACTTCTGCATTTTTTCGCCATTCTTGCTTTCTCGCTTTCGCTAAATACGAAAATCTGAAAAAACGGGCAATTCTCGGAGCCGCTAGTGCGACCGATTTTTTAGGACACCCTATAGAGCAACGGTCATTTTTATTCTCGGTCCTTTTCCTAAACCCACGAACACAAACATTGATAATTCAAATCCGCTTTGCCCCAGCTGACGTTCAGTATTTTCGCCTTCCCAGCACAGGCCTAGAGTTTTAGAGCAGTCCGCGGCATTCCGTAATGACGGGGCTGTTTGCCCAGTGACTCCCTCCCCCCTTCCTCTCTCCCCAGTGATGTCTCTGTATTTGTGTGTGGAATGGCTATCTGAATCTCACAGCACCTCTCTCTTCAATCTGATAGTGTTTCAGGCCCGCCAAAAATCGGCGTGCCCCCTTTTGCCTGTGTGCCTGTGTCCTGTCTGTGTGTGTACCGTTTGGGGGCTCCGAAATGGGCTCGGTCATCCGTCAAAGTACCCCCGGGCGGAAATATTCGATATCTTAAAAACTGACGCCACCCATTCACCTCGATTCCCTCATCCTATTGGGCCATTTTTGGAGTAACTATGTGGCTATGGGATTTAGCGACAAGTGCCCTTTACATTCTCTGTCTATATTTCATATTACTTGTCTGTTTTTACGGGGTAGTGTCTACGGTACTCGATCCGGAGTGGTTGAAAAAGTGGTGGTTTGCCGGTGGGTGCGGCGGGAAGGATGTAGGCCGACAAATGAGTGCCATCAGAAATTGGGGATCACGACTTCAGACAACAACGGGCATGCCGTCCAGGATGACAATCAGCCATTGAAGCAGCGCATTGCTGAATTGGAAGCAAAAGTCGATAGTCAGAATGGGGAATTGGTGAGCTTACAAGCTATTTATCGATAACTTAAAGTTTTTTAGCTGGTACTCCGGGCTTCTATTGCCGAAATCCTTCGTCGTGTCTCGAAGTTGGAAGGCACAGAACCGGATGCGGATATCTCTTTAAAAACAACACCCAAAATACGTATTTCAGCAATTCTAGGCGATAATAAGATTTAGCACCATATCTACCATCCTCCCGGAAGTCTTCCCTCTCCAATATGTCTTCTACAACGACCAGCGAGCGGCCGAAATCCAGGCCGCAATCGATGTACGGTGCTCCAGATGCTAACGAGGTTGGGATTTTTTTAGGCGTATGGATCGGCTTACTTTGAACATGCTATAAACACCGTTTCTATTTGTTTTAGGAGCAGACTTTTCGGCCACTTTCTAGTCTAGTCAATGTTTCCTTGGGAAAGAGTGCTCGAGGTAACTTTAATTTAATCTAATTATTCATCCTTATTTAGGGTCTCCAATGCGCAAATGGCTATCCTCTTACGACATGAAAGATCCATCGGGAGCACCGGTACGTAAATTTCAAATCAACCCTCGTGTCAGCTTCTAAATTTAAAAAACTGGGCATTTCTGTTTCTCGACCTCTTTAAATAACAATCTCATACTGGCAGCCCGAAGCCGAAGAACCGGTGGCTGGAACCCCCAAGCGCTTCCGGGTGAAGGTGTTGCCAAAGCGTGTGGCCAACTTGAAAGCCAGCGCCTCACACCCATTGGAATTCATTCCAGAGCCCGGCTGGCTTTTCCCCTCTGTCCCGTAAGCTGTCATCCAACTCGATCAACAAAAATGCGTCAACCCAGAGGTAAGCACGATGATTCGCTTTATAACGTCCATAAGATCTTAAACATATTTGAAAAGCTCTGAAATAGTCGTAAAAATCGAATCGACTTGATGCCGAGCCGTTTCCGGCTTAGCGGCTAGAATTTAAAGGAAGAAAATATCCCATGTATTTCAGCTTGGCAAATAGCACAGTAAACAGCATCCCAACCTCACAAACCGTATCACGAGGGCTCAGGTACGTAAAAATTTTAAACGCCTTGATGTTGTGTCGTGTTTGTAGTTCACGTTCCCCATCATACGCAGCACTATCTGGATCACGGCTTCTCAAAAAGTATGGTATTACCAATTCACAACTGATTTTTTGCACTTCCGTTAGGACTGCCTAGCGTTAAGAAGATCCCAAGGTCCTAGAGTCGCATCAAGTGTAATTTTTAGTTCGCCATCCCGTGAACCTCAATTCAACCCCTCCACTCATATACTCCATGCTTCCGTCAGTGGGCGATTAGTCGGGATTCCGGTACCAGATGCGGTGGCTGAGTGGGATCTCCATACAACCCAACCACCCCCTCCTGGAACTCCACCACAACTCGAATGGGTTTACGGTAATCTTTGGTTTTATGCTTTATTTATTTGTTCATTTCACGTAATTCTCCGATTTATTTTTTAGGTTCGTCAATTGGAGCAACGCGTAGTTCCCTTCACCACTTGCCCTCCGGGGATATCATATACCCGGCAGGGACCCTTGTTGTGTTATACCATCCCCAAGAACATACGCAGCGTCACTATGCGCAGCATACTTCTGATGTGAGGACGTGAGTCTAGTTGGCTTCTAAATTGCAAACACTCTTATTTAGAATCGCGCTCCATCCAAATCGTCGGATCGTGGCTAGCGGGCAGAGCAGTCGACATGCCAGGAATCGTGGGACGTTGGGGAACAAGTATAACTTGAATCTAGTTTTAAAAATAACAAATGGACATTCAGACCTCCCGTCTCGCCACCAGCCGATCCCGATCGAGCAGCAGAAACGAAACAAACGCAAGCACACATACGTGTCTGGGATACTGTCAGTCTAACAACACTCTCTGTCATCGGAACTGCCGATCACTGGTTCGAACGTGCCATCTCGGCCCTAGCATTCTCTTTGGCAGATGGTGGAGGTACAGTAGAATTGATTCCGTTCATTATACCAAAATTCCAGCTTTCCTGGCTTGCGTTGACGACAGCTACCAACACATGTTAAGTGTTTGGGATTGGAATAAAAAGAAGAAAATTGCCGAAACGAAGAGCACTAGCGATACGGTCGCCATTAGCTTTCACCCCTACCAAAACAATTCGATCGTTCAATATGGCAAAAATCATCTATATTTTTGGACGCTTGACCCCAAGAATGAAAAAGTTCAGCAGGTTCCCGCGTTTTTTGAGGTTGGTGAGAAATATTAAGAATTTGTGGCGAATCCGTTGGCTTTTATGTAAATTTTGTAGGGCCGAGATCGCCCAAAAGCCATTCAAAGCCTATGCTTCATCGATCAAACCACAGCAATCGTCGGTGATTCCAATGGCTCGCTCTCACAATGGGACATCAAAACAGGAAAGGTGCTGCGTGTCCTGCAAAACCTTTGCCCTGGTGGAATCACGGCGTTAGGTAACGGTACAGCTCCAGGCCTTAATCGGTCGTTTAGCTACCGTATCTCGAGATAAAATCGCAGCAGGTGGGGCACAAAATCAACTGATAATCATTGATGCGGCGAGCTTTATGAAAAGTGAAATAATTCAGGTTGGAGACCTAATAAATTGTCAATGAATTTATGAAAATTTCTAGCTACCGGAGCAATGTAAAAACATGCGTAGCCTAAAAGGATGTCGAGATGGGGCTATTCTTGTTGGCACGCTCGAAAACGCGATTTACCACGGCACGTCGGACGGTGGATTTCAATTGGCGGTTGAGGTTTGTTTAAGGGGACAGCTCGACACATAGAAACCATTTTATCACGGTTAAATAAAGAAATACAATACATTTTTAGGGTGTTGATGACGAAATCGGCGCCACGTGTCTCCATCCACATACTCCGCGGCTTCTAGTCGCTTCTGGCTCTGGAATGGCCCAAGTTTGGGATACAGAACAAAAAAGAACAATTTGGGGAAAACATTTTGAGGTTAAAAACTTCAAAAAATCTATTTTCTTTTTCAGGATGGCCTAACGAGTTGCTCGTTCTCACATTGCGGTTCCCATATTGCGCTAGGGACAGAATCTGGTCGTTTACTAGTCGTCGATTCTAATTCCCGGTAATAAACATTTAAATAATAGTGAGCACATATTTATTTCCAGGAACGTCATCTTCGAGTCAAAATACAGTACACAGCCGGTGTTAGCTTGCCGCTTCTCACCAGCCACAAATATTTTGGCTGTATCGACCCGGGTAAGTCTTCACATTTGATAATGAGCGTTCTGATCGTTCCAGTATCCATCATATCAACGAATTTTCAGGAACCAAGTGTATTGATCCTACGTGGTAGCGCTACAAAAACCTATTCCTCGCATGCGAGAATTGCCACACTGCCCTCTCCCGTCCAAACAATAGATTTCTCAATCGATGGCTCATTAATCCGTTTAACCACATCAATGGGGCATCTTTTATATTGTAAGTTAAACCAAAAAATAGCTGTAGGCTGAATTCAGATACGATCGAGGGTGACTCGATGGGGGCGGCTGAGACACGGAATGTCGAATGGAGCACGGGCAGTTGTTTGGCGAGCTATCAGGTGGGTGGAAAGGAACTTGGAAGGCATAATCATATCGAAATTAGTAAGAAACTACGATTTGTTATAGATAGCAGTTGCGGCTTCCGTAACGAGCAGTGTCACTTGTGGCGAGCTCAGCTCGGAGGATAACGGCTTGGCCGCACTTGGAAGGGGAGACGGAACGATCCGCATCTTTACGTCACCCGTTCATAGTTGTGAAGCGGGATATCACGAGATTCGAGCTGGGGCTTCACCTATTCTGCAGGTATCATCTTACCTATATACAGAAACGTTAGGAATTAATACTTAATACTTAATACTAATATTTTTATCTACAGGGTGTCCCAAAAAAAAGCACCCCTCCGGCATTTCGCCGTATTACATCCTATCGGACCTATACTTTGCACAAGGGTGTATTGGACCATAAATAACCACAATCCTGAGTTATAGCCCGATCGCTACAGTAGTTTTCGATTTATCGCCAAAATACTATTTTTTACGCGATTCTTCACAGGTTTTTCGGCTATCCTTTTGGACTTTGCATCGATTTGCATCGACTTCCGACTGCGAATCCCTAATTTCGTTTAATATCAGGGGTGGTTCTGGGTTACAAAAATTGTTGAAATCAACGGTTATTTGATTAATTTTTACCAGGAAAAAATTTCTAGGGGTAAAGAAGGCTTGCCGCTGCATTTTGACTTTCTATTCGAGCGGTCGATTCCGACGAAAACCATATGAAAAACGGATAATAAAGTTTATTTTTGTTGTATCTCGAAGATTACTGTAGCTGGCGGGCTATAAGTCAGGATTGTGGTTATTTAGGGTCTGATACACCTCTGGTCCAAATTTCGGACCGATCGGATGTAATACGGCGAAATGCCGGAGGGGTGCTTTTTTATGGGACACCCTGTATATCTTTCTAGCTCCACTACCGCAATATCCAACTCTACTCAACCGCTCAGGGCTCCGGTACGGTGTTGCAATGGCGTTAGAAAAACTCATTGATTTTAATAAATGTATAATACAGTGCTGGTGGCACGCCTTTATTCTTATATTTAAGTATACACAGACGAGTCCATGGGGTAGTCGCACTAGCAAAGGGAGCAGCTGATGCCACAATAGGCACGTCGCATCGTCAGGTTGTAGAAGCTGCTCGAGCAGAAGCCGTTCGTCA